ATTAATAAATAAAAAAATAAAAATCATATCTCATCACATTTTAAATGTTAAAATTTTTATAAAATTATTTAAATATTTTTAATAAAAAAATTTATTTAAAATATTTAAATAATTTTATATAAAAATTTAATAAATTATTATTAATAACGTTATAATTTTTATCATAAGAATAACGTTTTAATTTTGATCATCACCAATGAGGTTATAATTACTTTAATTTGAATATCATTGTCTTTAAAACAAAAAATTTGTCACTTGTTAAGCAAGTTTATACCACACAATATAAATAATTTATTTTCCAATATTCCGCACATATGTTAAGAGTTAAAATTTACAAATTTTTATGCATTGACATATTAAAAAAATTTAATTTTAATGGTTATGCGTTTTATAATTGTACATAAAATTATTAGATCATCCTTTATATTGTATTGAGCCAAAAGTCATTCTTTATTATTCAAAAAATTCGTTCAAAAGATATAAAATTTCATTTTTAGTGAATTTGATTTTATGAATTTTGAATAAAATTATTAGGTTTCAAGCTTCCAATTTTCAACATGATTTATTTCTGTAATAGTATCATTTTTATAGGGTTAAATATTATAATTAATTTAACAAAAAATTACTTTACAATTTAAATTATTTTACACTATAAAACAAGAAAAGACTCTAATATTAAAAACTCTTTTTATAAAATAATTTTTATTGTATAATTTAAATAATTCAGTGATAATATTTTTTTATTAAAAATAAGAGATTTTAATTTTAAATTACATGATGTGTAAATGAAATTAAATAAAAATATGAAAAAAAATTTATCTCCTGTCATGCATCCAACCTAAAAAAAATAATAATAATAATTTAAATAATAAAACAATGTACCTTAATTTTAATTGCAACACAAATAATCGTTGGGGGCAAAAATAGAAGGTGCAGTCTGGATGGTATAAGATGGTGCGAGTGGGTGCACTGAATAATTGCTAATATGAATAAAATAAATAAGCAGCAAAATGGGGGACGGCGCCCGAACGTGTAAAGGGGCGAAAAGTGGGAACCTGAAAATGGAATGGAAGGCCTTTTTCTCGAAAAAGCCAAAAAAGGTGATGCGACGTCCCTCAAGTAGTTATAATTACTCTCTTACCCCTTCATTTCTCTTTTGTTTTGTTTTGTTGACTTTTTTAGTTTTCACGAGGTTGTAAGAGAGACAAGTTTGGGCTTCCGAGATAATGGGCCAGGATCGTCAATCTATGATGCCATCATACTAAGGCCCTTACCTTTTATTATGAACCCCTAAACCAAATCATGAAGGCCCATAAGCCTGGTCTTCTTTCTTCCTAGTTCCTAGTTCCTGCTGCATCCCACCCAATACACAAAACGCTAAAGCAAAAAGGCAAACATGAAATAAAAGGCATTTACATGGATATTCTTTATTTTCAAAATTAATGCTATATAAATAATTTTGGATAAATTTAATTTTTCATCTACTAACTATTACTCTCTTTTCATTTTAGTTTAAAAAGTTGAATTTCTTTCAATATCATCTATAAATTTTCAAAATCATTTCAAATTCATATATCCAATAAACTACCATTAGTTTGTTTAACGATATCTCAAAGCATGCTTATGTGGCACATTTAATTTTGAAAAATTACATTTTAACTCCAAAAACTTTACAAAATTTTCAATTAAATTTTATATTCAAACCATTTTCTTTTCTTAGTAAGATTTTTTCTTTATTTTTTATTTTTAATTATGTAATAAATTTATATGTTTTAATTTTGATTAACAACTAAAAAATTCATCATTTTCATTATTAAGATAAAATCATATCACTTATTTTTTTATTTAGTTTAAAAAATTAACTTTATTTAGATTATCTCTTTCTCAATCTAACTTCTTTTTTTTTGTTTTTTTCAAATCAAGAATTTAAGGATAATTTATGTTTATTTATATTACTCTTAAAAAGAAATAAAAGATGAAAAAAAACATTTTGTGATGGGATGATTAATGAAAGTAAATAGATAATAATAAGCGTAAAGTAAAAAAATAGATTTGTTTCCCTTGAAAAAAAAAATAATTTGAGACAAATTTGATATTATAGAGCAATAATTATTTTGGAACAAATGGAGTAAAGTTAGTATG